AATAACTTTGAGGATGAATATATATTTTAACAATACAACTTTTTCAAATGAAACATAAATAAATAAATTTTCAGGATAAATATTATTAATAAAATAATTAATTAATTACAGAAAAAAATCAAATATGCTTTATTTATTTATTTATTCCTGTTTGATATCTTATCCGAAGCTTCTGGTTTTCTCTAATAGGCTTCGTGCATGAATTTAGTCCCTAAGAATTCAAAGTTGTTAAGGCCTCATCATTATCATTAAATCAAGGTCTGATAAATTAATTATACAATTATTTTTAAAAGTTAAATTATTATTTTAATCTTTTGTGATCATTATATTTTAACATTATTTTTATAATGTTATTTTTTAATTCGAATAATTAACAATATTAATTATTTCGATTCAGATGTTGTTTGTATTTTTCTTCAATAGACATCGTCCACTTGTTTTTGTAAACAGGATTTTTTTTTAAAGAAGAAAACTTGTGGTTTTAAAATAAGATTTGTCGACATTTTAGCCGGAAAAAATAGTGATATAAGCTATTAATTAATAATATTAGAAAAATTAAATTATGTTAGATACAAAAATTTTAAATTTTAGATTCAATAATATATAATTAAAAATATATATATTATGGTTAGGATCAAATGTGTAAAACTCTTTTATATTTTTCATATGTTATAAATTTATAATTTTATTTGTAGGTTTTAATACGTTTGTGTGCTATTGTCGTGTTTTATATATTATATGTTAAAAAACAAACATTCTAGATATTTGAAAAACCCTTGAAAACACACGCACACATATAACATAACACGTGCATTTCAAAATTTAAAAGAAAAACATGTAACTTTTTCTCATGTATTTTTGCACGAATTAAACGATTTTAATAGTAAAAAAATTATTATTACTTCTTGATATTCGAGTTCAAGCACAAAATATTATGAATGTGACATTCAATATTAATAATTAAAAATTATATTTAAATAAATATTATATTGTATTTATCTCACTTTAATAAAAATCTCTCATAATAGAAAAATATAAAATAGTTAGAAAAGAATTGTTGTAAATATTTTAATCTGCGTTTGAAGTGTGACCTTGTATTTATATATTATTTTTTTGAGTAAATTTATATATTAGTTTTAGAAGTTTTGAATATTGAATAGTTATATTTATAAAATATAAATACTTTATTAATTAATTAAAAATTAAAAAATATTATTGTGTATTCACTTTATACTATTAAAAAATAAAAATAAATAACATACTTAAAAAAATGTTTGATAAAGATTTATAAACAAATCATTTATGGATCCATCCTTGAAATAATCTAAGCATTAATCACTGTTCATGTTCTAGACTGGATTAAGCGGAGCATTGGAAACACTTTGCGGGCAAGGATTTGGTGCGAAAACTTACAGAATACTGGGAATTTACCTGCAATCGTCGTGCATAATTTCTTGCTCTTTTGCCATTGTCATATCGGTCATATGGTTCTACACGGAGCCGATATTGATAGTGCTTCAACAAGACGCCGAGATCGCAAGAATGGCAGCGCTTTACATCAAATATCTCATTCCAGGCTTGTTTGCCTACGGATTAGTGCATAACATACTGAGATTTTTTCAGACACAGAGTATTTTAATGCCTCTGGTATGGTTTTCTGTTATTCCACTGGCGCTTCATTTGGGGATTGTTTACTGTTTGGTTAATTGGACGGATATGGGTTTCAAAGGAGCTCCGTTGGCGGCTTCGATTTCACTGTGGATTTCAGTTATTTTGTTGGGGTTTTATGTGGTTCTGGGCAAGAGATTTGAGCAAACATGGACGGGATTGTCATCGGAATCGTTTGGTTTCGTCGTCGCCAACTTGAAGTTGGCCCTCCCTTCTGCAGCGATGGTCTGGTCAGTTTTACTTTTTCCCTATTTTTTACCCTTTAGAAATATCAATGTTCCCCAGTAAAGGGTAAACTACTTGATTATGGATTGATGTAGATATGATTATCATATTTTTTATTTTGATAATACAATTATATAACTATTTAAGTAGTTTTAATATAATTACTTGTCGTTATAAAATAAACAGCGTAGCTGACTGATTTTTGACTCATCGATAATCAATAATATTTACATCAATTAGGTCGTTTGTTTTATAACAGCAAGTTATTATATTGAAACTACTTGAATATGTATGTTGTCATATTTCTATAATTGAAATTATGGTTGTCATATCAACAGTAACCCCGTAATTAAGTGGTTGTTTGAGTAGTTTAGTGACTTAATTGACAAATAAATTAGTTTAATGATCAAAATTGAGTTGAACTAATAGTTTAGGACCTTAGATGTAGTTTATCCTTTGTTTACTTTGGTTGAATTAATTCGGATTGTTGGAATTTTTTGGCTAAATTATGTATTTCATGCTTACACTTTATTTTTTGGTCAGTTTGGAGTACTGGGCGTTCGAGCTTCTTGTATTATTAGCAGGAATGATGCCTAATTCAGAAGTGACTACTTCACTGATTGCTATGTGGTAAAGCTTACCTTGCACTTCATTCTTTTCAATGGATCCACATAATGGTATTATATGATCACCTGGATAAAATAAATCGATTCAAATATAATCAAGATCGAATTCGAATATTCTAATATTTGATTTGAATATCTTGGCAAATTTAATGCCTAGTTTTTAATCAGCTCAAACAAAATTGACACAAATGATTTTGTTCTAGTGTGAATACAGAAGCAATTGCGTACATGACTACTTATGGCCTTAGTGCTGCAGCAAGGTAAGTTCAATTTTCTCTTCTTTTTCCTAATGAATCAATTTACGAGTTTTATGATAAATGGAGGGTTGGTTTACAGCACACGGGTTTCGAATGAACTGGGGGCGGGGAATATGAGGAAGGCGAAGGGCGCCATGGCTGTGTCGCTGCAGCTGTCGATTCTTCTTGCCGTTGCGGTGGTGGTGGCTTTAGCATTCGGGCATGACTTATGGGCAGCTACCTTCAGCAACAGTGCTTCCATTATTAACCAATTTGCTTCTATGACACCCTTGCTTTTGATCTCCATAACGGTCGATTCTTTTCAAGGCATCTTGTCAGGTTTCGATAACAATACATTGATTTTGAATTTAAGGTTTAGTGTTTAGAATTTAGGGTCCGGAATTTGAAATGAGCACGTGTGGTGCCAGGGGTAGCCAGAGGAATAGGATGGCAGCTGCTGGCAGTATGGGCGAACTTGGGGACTTTCTATTTCATCGGAATGCCCATTGCATACGTTTTGGCCTTCAAATTCAGCTTTATGCTAAGGTGTGTATGTTACTTTAATCATCGAAATCAACGATCGCATCGAAACATTTTTTAAGATCATCGTGACATTACAGTAATAACTATAAAATCATATTATACTATATTCAAAACCGTGACACTACAATCACAGTTTATTATTATATTTTATTCTTCATCTTTTCTTAATGAATTAGTTTGTACTTTTTTTTTCCAGGGATTGTGGATTGGGCTAATATGTGGTCTTTCTTGCCAAGCTGGTGCCCTCCTTGTTATTGCTCTGTTTAGAAAATGGAGTAAACTTGACCTTTCATGATATAAAACCTATCCCCGTGCAACGACGAGACTTAATTGGAGATTTAAAGTGTCTAGACAATGTCAATTTTCTTTGGGTAAAACTACAGGATTGATCATTTTCATTTAAGTTTTCTATACTTTTTTATTGAATTTAAAAAATATAACATTTAGTCATTTTTGATTTTATTTAATTAAGACTTAATCATTGAATGTTGACTATCGTTAGATATTGAAGGTTAACTGTAGTTAGATCTTTAACGTTGATATGACCTATTGAATTTATAAAATTAAAAGGGGTAAACTACACAATTGGTCACTATTTTTAAGTAAGTTTTCATTTTTCCTACTAAGGTTTAAAAAAACAAATTGGTCACTAAAACATCAAATAGGTTCTTGAACAATGATTTTATATCTAATTTTTTATGTTAATTTTATATTCGATTACATTATCATCACGTTGGTGAAAAAAACAATGTTGATTAGTTGGATGAACAAAAAAAACTTTTATAATTGGGTGACAAAAAAGAAAATTAACCATAATTGGATAGCTCTGGATGTAATTTACCGGGAAAAAAGGCTTTCCACTAACAGTGTATTTGGTAATGATCGAAATTAATTTTTGTTTCAAGTTGATTTTTATTTGAATTAAACATAAATTTTACAAATAAAACTGAATAGAACTCCAGCAAAATCCAATTCCAAGTTTCTTACTAACAAATGCTTGTCATATAAAGACATCATCAAAGAAAATACATGTTGAAGTGTTTCTTTCTTCACTAGATGTAAAAACCCTTTCTTCGACAAGATTGATTGATTCAAAATGTTGTGTCTCATGAGAGTGTTCGTGCAACATTTTTGAATTCAGTTAAGCAAGATTGAAGTACCTTTTGGCGATTTTGGAGGGACTGTCGTTTTTGTTGCAGCACATCAATGGCGGCAGGCGATACGAACATGTCCATGAATTTCTCATCATTCACGACAAACAGATCCAGCCCTAGCACCTAAAACCTGTCTCGGCTGTCGAACTAGAAGTAAAGGATTAACAGTGTATTAGCTCCAATCTGAAGTGCATGCTCAACATTTGGCAGCAATCTTGTGCATATATAGCTAATAGAACTGAAAGAACTTACCATGGGGTAAAAAATCCGGAGTTTAGTGTTGATGTCACACTACGCTCAACAAGAACTTCACGTATCCGTGCGAAATGTTGTGCTGCTGATGAGCAGATTGCAGTGTAAGCTGATGTAGAACTACTGTCACCGTTACCGAATAAAAAACTACCGCCGTTATGAACTTTCATCAATTGTTCAGGATTTCTGTTGCCTGTCATTCTTGCCATACGTTTTCTCGGTCCAACTTCAGCCTTAGCACCACCAGCGTAGACCACATCACATTGCTGATCAGGAGATGGGGTCTCAGGGCACTGTCATTTGGCTTTCTCGGAGGACTTCTCGAGCTTCTGTGCCTTTTCCTGGAGTGGCTTTCCGTGCATTGTTTTCAGGAGGATGTTCTCTTGATCCCTCATCGTCTCATCATGCGATACTTGCCCATCATCGGATAGCTCAAGCCAAAATGAACTGGCCGAAATTTGGTTATGCTTGAAATATGAGCTTGCACTTGAGCCAAAGCCTCCTTGAAAGTCATTCTCATAAAAAACCTGAGAATATGGGCTTGTGACTGAATCAAGATGGTTCTTAACTAGTTGCTTGCACTGTTTAGCCAAACCCTTTATGAAGCGATTGTATGCATGTCTTAAAGCTGCATGAAACCCAACATAACCGTCCATGTCTCCAGCTTTCCTACAATCTGTGGAGTTGAAATAAATATGAAACAACTGTGGCAGAGAAAATATACCATCTCTGTGAAGATAATTACTCTCAAAAATGACGGCTAAACATCAATGAGATGAGGGAAAATGGCTATCGATCATAGTTATGGAAAAAAAGAAAAAGTTTAAGAGCTTCTTACACTCTGATTCCCAGCTGCGGTTCCTCTCTAGAGCAATGTCAAAAAGATTGCCTAAAACAGCAAGCCGATCACAAGCAGTATCAAGGAGAGGAGCAAGCCATGACCGTGCAGCAGTTCGTGCAATTTCTGCAGCAGCCTCTGCTGTTCCTCTACCCCCACCTCAACCAGCATGTGCAAGTAAGATATTTGCAACCTGTTTCAGGAAAACAGATCTGTTTAGTATTTCATCCACTTTCAAAATCAATTTAATCAAATGCTCAACCATGATATTCTTGAGTCGAATTCCATAATCGAAATATCTACCTCTCCCTTGATACTGGAGGGCATTCAATGGAATATGCAGCGCAGTGGAATTCATGCATTACCCTTTCAAAAGCAGCTCCACCATAAAGTCGGAGAATGACATTAGCAGGTTTTATATCAATGGTAACACCTGGCCAACTCCCTATGAAACTCTCTGATCTTTCCTCCACTGTTGTTTTCCCCCACTGCTCGGGGGCTGGATCGGCTGCTCCATCAATTAGAACTCCCTTAAGCAACAAAACAGTACCATTAGGTTTCTTGTAGTTAAACAAAGGCCTATAAAGACAGTTAAATTCTTCAAAATTCAAATCTGATATGTGAATTCAGGCGGTCAAACAATATATGTTGTCCAATTTCTTAAATGAATATACATAAAATAATGGGAGGAAGTCAGACATACATGTGTCTGCCGCTCAAACCGAGTTATGCATTACCTGAAGTGCATATGCTTTTCTCAAGTAGGCAAAATATAATATTATGACACTGTTTATCTGGAACAAATGAACATCTGTGTGAGAGATGTCTCACCACGTGATTGCTGATAGAAGCTGCATGCATCATGGCTGATTTTCGAAGATGAGAAACATCAGAAGTTGCTTGTATTTTGGAGTCCAATCTCGCGAGCTCAATGTTGATTTCACTGCACCGCTGCTCAAGAATTTGACCAGTGTTGCTGGAGCAGCTTCTTTTTATCTCTTTTGAATTTCAGATTCTAAATACTCCCTCAATGAAAAAGAACCAATATAGGGTTTGAACTTCTCTTCATCATAGCCTCCCTTGATTCCATCATGCAGATGACGTAAAACTTCAGCATCCACTTCGGATATTTGCCTTCAGAATTCATCATTCGAAACGGTGTTCCTATCCTTAGGCAATGCTACAAAAATTGGTCTAGTGTTTTCTCCAAGATAACCACTTGCACTCAAATAACGATCAACTTCCCATCTGTCACGAAACTCCTGCATTAAATTCAATTGAATTACCACAATCAAATTCCTCACAAGCTACACACCTAGAGACATTCTATCAAACACAGCTTATTTTTCCGATCTTACACCGACTTTTATTTTCAGACATGGGCGCAGGGATATGACCCCCAAGGACCATCCAAATACATTGAAAGGCTTGAAAAAAGTTGAAAATGCCTATGTTAAGCACATTTCCTGTATCGAATAGTTACGTCCAAGTCCTGGTAACATGGATTATTTAAATCCCTCGATTTCATGTGCCATGTGAAAAAGTAGTGTGAATGTGTCAGCTCAATGTTACATCTCATAGATGAGTAGATGACATAGCCAAAAAGAAAAGCAGCAAAATATGTACCATGAGTCTGTTATCAAACTTGGAGACCACAATTACCGTCCTTCTGAAAGTTGGATCAATTTCCCTAAGAGAAAATAACCTCAGTGACCAAAAATGTCTTATAATATACGATTTTAACCAACTTTTTTTGGATTTGCCAAAATGACCAACTAAATCGCAATGCGATCGATAATTCGCAACGCGATCTCCGGTATCGCAAATCAGTTTCCAGATTCGCAACGCGATTCTGACTATCGAATTGCGATTTCCCAAATTCGCGTTGCGATTTAGTAAATCGCAACGAGATTCTGACTATCGCAATACTGAATTTCAAATTCGCAACTCGATTTCTGAATTCGCAACAGGTTTTAATTTCGCAACACAAATGATTTGGGTATATAACTACGCAGCAGCAGCAACTCATAATCTAAATCCCTAAATCACAACTCATTCCATCTCCATCTATCACTCTCTCCGGCGACATCCGTTCCTATATCCAACGACATCCTTCCCCATCCGGCAACAAGTTTTAGTTTCGCAGCTCGTTTGTTTAGTAAATTAATTTACAATAATGAAATCATCTAATGTTGATCATGTTTGGATAGATTTGTGTTTTGGAGGGTCATGGGAGAATGTTCATGGTGTTTTACAATATATGCCTTTACCCATGAATCTTCAACTAAAACTGTCATTAAAAAAGTTAACTTATGAAACTCTAATGTTACGTGTTGTAAATAAATTGAATTTAGAGCCCCTAAGTGGATTTAGGCTATCTTATCAGAGAAATGGTAAAGTTTATTTGTTAACCGACAATGAAGATGTTGAACGATTCATTGCTTACATTAGTGTTTCAAGTGATGATGTTACATTGTATGTTGTTGAACCTAGAAGTAGTGAAGTTGGGTCAGTAGCGGGTAATAATCAACTAAGTTTTTCAACCCAGTTTATGGTGCTCAAAATTTAATGGTTCCACCACAATTTCATCACCAAGCAAATATTGTTTCACCACATTTCCAATACCAAACACAATCTCAAAACCCACAACCTTTCCCTAATCCAAATCCCAATCAACTTTCAGCATCAAATTCTGGTTTTCGTATTGACCAGTTAGACGATGATGAGCCAACAGAAAAAATTATGAGTACTAGTCAGTATTCGAAATTTGATCTTGGTCAATGATCTTGGTCAATACTCAGATTTTGATGATTTTTCAGAAGAAGAAACAGACCCTGCGTGTAATGATTTTGATATTGGTCAACACCCGAATTTTGATGATGAAACAGCCGTTGCCGAGGAAGATGTTGTTGATGATAATGAGGAGGAAGTTACGACTGTAAATGAACATGTTAAAAATCCATTCTGTAATTCATATAACACTGAAGAAGAAAAAGAAAAAGAAGAAATCCCCAAAGAAAAGTCCCCGAAGAAAATGCCCCGGGAGTATAACTGGAATATGCCAGAATTACTTCAGATACCGGAAGAAGAGTTGGTAAAGATAGCAGTTGATTGTTACACAAAATTATTCGTATCAAGAAAGATGATTGTTTTGATACAAAGGAAGACTTGAAGATAGCTTTGTATATGAAATGTGTGGAAGATGGCTATCAACCAAAAGTTAACAAATCAAGCAAAGATCGTTTCGAAACAAGGTGTATGATTGACAAAAACTGTATGTGGCGTATGATTGCAAAGAGGATAAAAGATTGCGAAATGTTTCAAGTTAGGACTTTTATTGATAAACATACATGTTCAAGAACCCAAGTTTTTCCTCACCATAGACAGGCAAACAAAAAGGTGTTGGGTGGTTTTCTGGCTGAGTTAATGTTTTTGAATGGTAAGGTATATCGGGGACATGAAATTATGGCTGACATGAATGCTCGGTTCAAGATTAGTATCTCATATTCTCAAGCTTGGAGAGCCAAATGTTATGCCTTGGAATTGTTGAGGGGGTCGCCAGAAGCATCGTTTGCCCAACTGCCGGCTTATTGTGACAATTTAAAGCTGAAAAATCCTGGGTCGGTAACTCATATCAAAACAGATAGAGATGGACGCTTTGAGTTGCTGTTTATCGCCATTGGTGCTGTGGTTAGTAAATCAATATAATTTTGTTGACTCATTTTTGTTAGTTACATGCATTTCACATTTAAATGATTATATTTCTTGTGTATCTGATTTTGTAGATTCGTTCGTTTATTAATTGCATGCGCCCAGTTATTATAGTTGACAGAGCATATTTAAAAGGTCGATACCTTGGAGTAAACTTATTAGCAGTAGCCATGGATGCTAACAATGGGATACTGCCAATAGCTTACGGGGTTGGCAAATCTGAAACCTCTGATTCATGGACATGGTTTATGGGGCATTTTAGGGATTGCATAGGTCCTATTAGCAATCTGACAATCATATCCGATAGGGCAAACTCAATTGACAACGCTGTTAGAAGGTGTTTCCTAGATGCTTTTCACGGACTTTGTGGTGTTCATTTGTATAGAAATCTAAAATCAAGGTCTGCTGGTATAAAAAATCACAAATGGACATACTGGAAGGCTGTAAAAGCTTATCGGGAAGTGGATTTTAATAAGCATATAAACTGTTTAAGACGTGTTTTGCCTCAGTGTGCTCAAACACTAGAAGATGTCTGGTTTGAAAGATGGTCAAGAGTACATCAACTTGGAGCAAGATATGGTTTCATGACGTCTAATAGTGCAGAATCAATCAACGCTCTAAGTCGTCATTCCCGGAAATTACCCATTACTATGTTAATGGAGTTTTTTCGAGCCTCTATTCAACAGTGGTACTACAAGAAAAGAAACCATGTATTATTTCTTTAAATTCGTAACTTATCATATATTTTACTAAGTATTATTTATTTAAATTTACAGGAACATTGGAACATCGTGTTACACCATGGACAGAAAAAAAGATAACGAAACGTGTTGTGAAGTCAACGTCATGGAGAGTTGAACCATGTTCAAACACTTTGTTTGAAGTACTGGATATAACTTAAATGGGCTTGTCAATCTAAATGCAAAGACGTGTAGTTGTATGAAATGGAAAATATCTGGTTATCCATGTGGCCATGTTATAAAAGTTTCTCTTCATCTAAACCAAGATGATTCAAGCGCATACGCTATGGATTACTACACTACAGAAGTATATCGACAGAATTATGGCGAGATTGTCTACCCTATTCCACATCCTTCTGAGTGGGACATACCAGATGACTTACAAACAGTTTTGCCACCAGCCATGGACAGAAGGCTACCTGGCCGACCAAAAAGTCACGATCGTATACCGTCTAAGGGTGAAGAGAAGAAGAGATCGACATGTAGTCGGTGCAAGGAAAGTGGTCATACAAGGTTGACATGTGGATCACCAGTGCCATCACAATCATCTTTTCCTCTACCAAAATATGGATCCTCATCAAAATCCAAAGCTCATATGGTGTCAAGCAAAAGGCAATCATCTTTAAAATCCCAATCACAACCGGCTTCATTCTTTTGGGACTGTTAACTTAGGTGATTTTTAAATACAAATGTTGTATTATGTGGATTTTATGTGTGAACTTTTAACATTTTCAGTTAGGCATGTATTATTAACTTGAGTTTGAAAATTGCTATGATCTGTTCAGTTGTTATCACTTATTAGGCATTCATTTGACTATCGCAACACGGAAATGACGTTCGCAATCATCTTAATGTCTATCGTAACGCGGAAATGACTATCGCAATGCGAAACGAAAATCGCAACGAGAGAATCGCAATGCGAAATGAAAATCGCAAGAATCGCATTGCGAAATGAAAATCGCAACGAGGGAATCGCAAAGCGAAATGAAAATCGCAACGCGAATTTAGTTTCGCGTTGCGATTTTGTCGTTGCGATTTTCATTTCGCGTTGCGATTCTCTTGTTGCGATTTTCATTTCGCATTGCGATAGTCATTTTTGCCTTCAACATAATGCAGATTGAAATCAACAAAATCAACCATTATATTTCAATCAATTAAACAAGCACAAATAAAAATTATGTTCACATCAATTAAACAAATCAACTTTTACAAATCATCTTTTACAAATCAATTAAACAATAAAAAAATAAGCAATAATTCTTATTTCTTCATCTACTATTGAATCAACTTTTGCAGCCATACATCATTTTCACGCAGCTCACTTCTGAGATTAACCTGCAGAAACCAAACATTTGCTCAAACAACACTTTCTACACATCTAAAACCTACAAACAACAAATTATTGAATTCTAGGTACTTAACCAAACATTTTCAAACCAAAAGCCTATAAACTTACCAATTGTTTATGGACATTTTTATAACGCGAATGCAGGTAGGCAGCGTCTCGTATATATCGATCTAGCCATATAATGCCGAAACCACAAGCCTACTACAGCTCTATCTCTATCGGTGGGAGGTAGATACTTTATACTTCCTGTGATCAAACGCTCCAACGCCAATCATACGAGAGGACCACAATCCCCTTTGGGTCCTTTCGTTTGTTATGGTGCGGTCTCGTCTATGCTAACTGTAATATTGAGCTTCTTTGGCTTCTTGTTTCCAGAATGAGTCCAATAATTTATCGCATCCAAGAATTTAGCCAAATGAGACTTAATAGCACGTGCACGTCGTCTGATGCGTGAACTCCGTCGTGCAAGAAAAACCCGACGTAAAGCATCCACCTTATCGGGCCGCTAAATAATTAAATACAAAAATCAGTAAATAAACAGACATGATATTTAAACAGTGAAAACAAAGACAAATACGTTTCAAACTTGCATTGAATTCACCCAAGTCATTATTCTATCATAGTTCACAAAATGCATCAGATAACAAAGACAAATATGTTTCAAACTTGCAACACTGTCAACTTAGTATTTGTCTTTGTCTATTGGTTGAAGTAATGCAATTCATTCAAGTTTCAATTTGCAGAAGAAGAATAGTTTCTGGAACTTAAAATCGCAACGTGAAAAATGACTATCGCAACGAGAGAATCGCAACGCGAAATGAAAATCGCAACGAGAGAATCAAAATGCGAAATGAAAATCGCAACGCGATTATAGTTTCGTGTTGCGATTTTGTCGTTGCAATTTTCATTTCGCGCTGCGATAGTCATTTTTCACGTTGCGATTTTAAGTTTCGTGTTACGAAAGTAAACTATTTCTTCTTCTTCTGCAAATTGAAACTTGAATGGATTGCATTACTTCAACCAAAAGACAAAACAAAGACAAATACTAACTTCAGAGTATTAAAGAATACACAGTTTAGCAGAATTGGCAGCAACCGAACAAATTTACTTTCAATCAAAAGACAAAACAAAGACAAATACTAACTTCACAGTGTTAAAGAATACACAGTTTAGCAGAATTGGCAGCAACCGAACAAATTTACTTTCAACCAAAAGACAAAACAAAGACAAATACTAACTTCACAGTGTTAAAGAATACACAGTTTAGAAGATTTGGCAGCAACCGAATAAATTTACTTCAACCAAAAGACAAAACAAAAGACAAATACTAACTTCACAGTGTTAAAGAATAAACATTTAGCAGTATTGGCAGCAAACCGAATAAATTTACTAAGCAATCTAAGTGAAATGGTTAATCTAAGTGAAATTACGAGTAAATTTATCATCAAGTTAAATATGGAAAATCTTAAACTTACCTCGTTGCGTAGAGTATGAACCTCATTCTGCAACGATACTACCATCTCACGTAGAGCGGCAACCTCACCACGTAAAGTAGACACCTCCACACGCCATGCATCATCGTTATCGTGTAGAGTACCGATCTCCTCACGCAAGGCATTGACCTCATCACGTAACTCCCTTGACTCATCCCGTGGAGGTGGAGAACAGGGAGATAGAAGTCGTGGCATCTTTGTCGGTCGCCTATCATGAGGTGATGGTGGAGAAGAGGCTCGATGATGTGACGTGATAGGTGATGGCTCTCGTTGTAGAGGTGTATAGTCGGGTCGATCAGGTGATGGCTCTCGAAGTGGAGGAAGTGGAGGCTGCTCATCATTCGTGCCATCAAGAAAACGCTGACTAGCTTGCCACCAATCAGTGGCAAGCTCAGCCTCCGTGGGTGTCAGTCTCTGTAATGGAGTGTTGGCCTCCTAAAAATATAAAAACTCAAACAAAGTTAAACGTCTACTATTAATAACTTGTTTATATATGATAGTATTTGTGTTAACTTACATTATTTATTGTCGCATATGGTATTAAGTCTTCCCAATCCAACAGACATTTCCTCTTCCAGGAAATAGCCCTAGAAATATCATTTGAAGTTTTTAATGCATATGTCCGCATGCTGGGGAAAACCTCGAATATCCAAATCTACAAACAATATAATAACAAACATTAGTAATTGTTAAATAATTAATTATAATTTTGAAAACATTATATAGAAACTCTTACCTTAAAGGCCCAAACAAAGCCTGACAAAGTGTATTTCGACCCATCGCCACGCAAACTTTTGCGGTCATCAAAGGCAGACGACAACTTAGTCCAGGTAGCTTTCCATATATACGAACCCCACGGAAACAGATTCCATGCATTTAGGTCCTCTACCAATAATATTAGCTCCTGAGGAATAAGTTGTCTGGCCTCTCTGTCTAAAAAGCCGGCATAAAAAAGTACTAGAAGGCATACTCGGATAACATCGACGTCATTCATCCGAGTAAAACCATCTTTCTTATTAAACAATTTCTTCAGGTCGTCGACGTGTAAGTTTGGCTTCTCTATTGACTCATCAGGAAAAACCCTGGATAACCATGATGGGCGGGTGATATGACGAGTGTACCGGCCTACATCATCGTGTCCGAATCGTATACCAGTGATTAAGCAGAACTCCTTCCGCCCAAAACAAGTATACGCCAGTGGAAAATAAAACCATATCTCTTCCTCACCACGTTGTATACTGTCGGGTAGATCGCTAGTCATGGTCTGAAGCCACAACTGGGTCAAATTAGAATCTCCACCCGGATGCTGTACTCTCAGCCATAGCCCGAAGCAGGTTTCCTCAAACAATTTTCTTTGTGCAGGTGAAAGCTTCGAAGCAATTGTAGTGGCTAGGCTAACTTTATTCCTTAATGTCAACGAAGCCGAAAAAAATTTCTACAAAAAAATAAACATACCAAGTTAGATATACCAAAAACGACACTGTGAAGATATACCAAAAACAATAAACATAAAGAGTAGTAGTTTATTCTTGAAACTAAAATTTGCAACACTGTTTTGTCTTTTGGTTGAAATGAAAATCACAACGAGAGAATGAAAATCGCAACGCGAAAATGACTATCGCAACGAGAGAATCGCAACGCGAAATGAAAATCGCAACGAGAGAATCGCAACGCGAAATGAAAATCGCAATGCGATTTTGGTTTCGCGTTACGATTATCTCGTTGCAATTTTCATTTCGCGTTGCGATTTTCATTTCTCTCGTTGCGATAGTCATTTTCGTGTTGCGATTTTCATTTTCATGTTGCGATTTTAAGTTTAGAAACTATTCTTCTTATGCATTACTTCAACCAAAAGACAAAACAAAGACAAATACTAACTTCACAGGGTTAAAGACTAAACAGTTTAGCAGTATTGGCAGTAATCGAATGAATTTAATAAGAAATCTAAGTGAAATGGTTAATCTATTATTGAAATTACCAGTAAACTTATCATCAATTTCAATATGAAAAAACTAAAATAATGCAAAAATTTCAAAATAAAAATAATTAAAAAAAACTAACCCTCGGATGTTGATTTTTCATTTCTGAATGATTGTGAGGGATTTCTGACCGTGAATGGTTGTGACGGAAGTCTTTGGAGATGGGGAGGATTTCGCCGTAGAGAGTGAGAGATGGAGATGGGATTGAGTTGTGATTTTAGGTTTTAGTTATGAGTTGCGATTACGGGATATACTGTGGACGGTTCAGTTTCTGATATATTAATATATTCGTGTTTGGAATTTGAAAAAAAATACGCGTTAATACGAATGGCGCTATGTAAATCGAATTGCGATACTCAGATTCGCATTGCGATTTACGTATTCGCATTGTGATTTTCCTAATTCTCATTGCGATTTACGTAATCGCGTTGCGATTTAAATCGCAACGCGAATTTGAGAAATCGCAATGCGATAGTCAGAATCGCGTTGCGAATCTGGAAACTGATTTGCGATATCGGAGATCGCGTTGTGAATCATCGATCGCATTGCGATTTAGTTGGTCATTTTGGCAAATCTAAAAAAAGTTGGTTAAAATCGTATATTATAAGATTTTTGATCACTGAGGTTATTTTCTCTTTCCCTAATTGAATCTAACCACAATGATGAGCACCACTCCACACTACTCTGCTGGAGGAACAACAGAATACGATGGGGAGGACTAGTTAATGGCTTCATCATGGAAAGAATCTCCTGTGGAGTGTTCTCTGGTTCTCCTTTCTTTTCCTGCCAAGAAATTTCCAACCATACATTTCGGCTCATAAATAAAATGTTGTATTACAAAGATTTCAATCAATTTAAGCCTGAATTTTCCTTCACAAATCAGTTGGCAACCTACCTTAAGAAAAAATCCAGGGGTATCAATGATGGTGAGGTTAGGACAATGTGCGAATTCAGCTCTCATCACAACTGGCTTTGGAGAAACTGAAGTTTTAGTCTCTTTTAAAAGTGCCTCACTTCTTGATTTTATGATATCTGCAATTGTTGATGATGAAACAACTGGACTTCCATATTCTTCAGAATCATCTTCCTGTTTTCAATTGTTAATTTTAAGTATCGATGAAAAAGAGAAAAACAAAACAAAAAACACATAGCAGGCTACAAAAGTGGAGCATTCAATGAAGAAAACCCAGATTCTAAAGAAATAAAAGAAAACCTTATGCTAGCAAAATAATTAAAGCTATATTCAAGAGTATTCACATCTAAAACAATCCAAATCCTTGGTAAGTAGCTAATTATTGATATTTTCACCAAATTTAACTTTCAACGAATTCGATCTCTCTAAAGTCTATTGTAAAGAAAAGCCCAACGTTGTTAAGTTATTCAAAAATCCTCGTACTTCTTTTCGTTGTGCAATTTGCAATTCTTCCATTCAAGATTCAGTTATTTGATTCCTATAAATTAAATAAACACAGGTCGATCCAGCATATAACAAAATCAACACAAAACTTTAAAATCAACAGAAAAAAATAAATGCCCGTCAGAACTGTCTTTTGGGTGAGCCCGAAATTAGACTTCGACTTAAATGAAATGGTTAGAGTTGCCACCGATCATTTGAACAATAAGATTTGGCTGATCGGGTAACATCTTACCCGATCTGCGTCTTACCAAAGATGTGTTGGATTCGGGAGTCGGTTACAATTAAGGAAGATAAGCACCATTGAATTGTCCTTTCGGTACTAATTAATTTCCAGTTGTCTTTAATTAAAAAAATTGTAAGTTAAATTAAATGGTAAAAATTGATACAAATTACTTATCTATGACGATTTAAAAGTGTTAGATAAAAATAAAAAGGGGGTAAAAAGATAAAAATAAATGAAATAAGTAAATATATATATATAATAAATAAAAATAGATAAATAAAAGGAAATTAATAAAATAATAAAATAATGAATAATAATAATAATAAGAAAAAACTAAAACTAAAATAAAAGAGATAAATAAAACAAAAAAATAAATGAGAAGAAAAGTAATAATAATAGTAATAATAATAAAAAATAATAAAATAAAATATATATATATAATAATAATAGGAACAAAGACAAGGAAAAACAGGAAAAAAAAAGATATAAATATATATATATATAATATATATATATATATATATATATTAGGTAAAATCATAATAATAAAAGAAAACAAAAACATTATATGTATATAATAAAATATAGATAAAAAATAAAAAGAAAAAAAGAAATAATAATAATACTAATAATAAAAAATATATATATGCACATAAAAATAAAATATAAAAAAATAATAATAATAATAAATCAAAAACAAAAGCCTAAAAAATAAAAAAAAATATAAAGAGAAAAATAATAAAATACAATATATACATATAACAGGATAAAATATTAAATGAAAAAAATTAAAATCATAAAAAAGGGATTAAATTAAAAGAAAAGAAAATTGGGGGATAAATTTAAAAGGAAAACTAAGGTAAAATTCGGATTTAAGGGGCTAAATGAAAGCATTAAAAAATGGGACCAAAACTTATAATTCCCCTTTTATTTCTCAAAACACGCAGATCCTAAGGGTGAATCGGGTCAACACACATGTCGATGAGTTACTATAAAAACCAAAAAATAAACACCCTAACTCATTTCTCTTCTCAAAACCGATTGAAGTCATCCCCCTCCCAAATTCTCTGTAACATTCAACTGTGTATGAAGAACACGACAGCTGCAAACCCAGGTTCCGACGGGTCGTCGTCTCGCCGACCGCCGTTCATCGGCGACGACCAACAAAAAAAATCATTTTTTAAAAGCTCTTTCCCTTCCTGTTTTAAATATCCAAATGGTTTTTGCAAAACGGCATCGGGAGGGCTAGATATAAGAAAAAAAATATCTCGGTCACCCTCCCCTCAATCATCGACCATCCCTCTTTTTTTATATATATTTTCGAATCAAAATGAATAGAAAACTAACAAAAGTTTACATGCAAGAATCCAACCGAAAAATGTGAGACTTTTACCTTTATTTCCCTTTCGAAATATTACACAAATGCTTCAATTTTTTTCTCTTGCGACTGCTCGTAATTTTTTGTGTCTCTCGTGTATCTTTTTCTTTCTTTCAAATTACATGCTTATTTATTACAAAGTCCTATTTTAGGGAGTTTGATTCCGAGTGAAATACTTGGTTTGTAGTTGTTTGTGTTTAACTTGCTTTGGTGTCACACTAACACACATTTGTGGTGTTTGTTGAACCGTGAGAAACGACCGACGTGCGTGAGAAAGGTGCATCGTTGATGGAGAGAAGGGGGATGCGGTTGGAGCAAGGGGGTTAGGGTTTCAAAACCCTAACCGATTTGAGTTGACAATTAGACCGGTTCGAGTTTCTGGTTCGGATCGTGGGTTGCTCTAATGGACCGGGCTGCTGCCTTTACTTTGCAAACGGGCTCGCTGGGTCTATTGTTGGGCTGACTGCTGGAGGGGTGTATTTGGGCCTGTAATATGTAAACAAAATGAAATAAATAATATATATATATATATATCATATAATATATAAATATTATTACTGTGTGACATGTATGCGATACATAATATCACATAAGTTAAGGCGAAATGGTGTGTCTACAGAATCAAACGCAACACGAAATGACGAAGGAATAAAAAGAAGACCCTAAACCACCTGGAATCGACAACGAGGCTCAAGTGCAGAAGGGTCGTGAACCATCTGCAAAATTAGAGGTCAACTAGTACCCATCTCAACTTCACGCACATTGAAACGGAATCCAAGATAAACTTCTAGGAGAGAGCTTTTTCCATCCTCTCTCTCTCCGAAGGCCACAGCGGCAGCTTGGAGGCGGTTTTAGGCCTCGAAACGGGACAGAGAAGAGGAAGAGTCATATAATTGGTGGTGAGAGTGAGATCTCTTGGATTTGTCTCCTGGGGTTCTTGTTGGAGTAGAGGTCGCCGTCGCCATTGAAGAGAGAACTTAAAAAATAAGTACAGGAGAAGAAGGGGAAAGATGGAAAATTAGGCGCTTTAGATTTCGAATTTAAAATTGTCAAATATAGACGTTGGAGGATTATGGGTTGGTTTGGGTTTCTATTAGCCCACATTTGGGCTGGACTTGCCACGTAGAATTGTTGGGGTAATTAAATATATTCTCAAAAATTTTATAATATTTAATTGATATTCTAATCAATTATATTGGTTGGAAATCACTTAATTATTAAATATATGTTAAAGAAAAAAAAATCCACGGTAATTAATTTTTTTTTATAATATGTTCTGTAAGTAGAGAATATGATTTAACTATTAGAATTAAGGAGGGTTAGTCACGCAGAAAATATTATTATTAGAGGAAATAAGAAATTATATTTCTATGCTTTAATGCTTGGTTCGTGAAAATATCATTATCAAGTAATAATTTATTATAAATAGTAACATTTCTGGTTAAAATGGTAGAAATGCATTACTTCTAATTTCTTAGCTATTACACAATTCTCGCCACTTTATACAATAATACTCCTAGAATAATAAATTTTTTCGTATAGATCATTCTCATTCTCATATAGACAAAAATAAATTTGATAAGTTAAAATTATTTAATATATTAACAAAATATAATTTTATTAGGTGAAAAATGTAATTATTTAAAATAATATCTAACTTTGAGTTATTAAAAAATGAATCTCATACATTGAAAAATAATATTTTTGTCCACTTGAGACCACAACGTTGTTTTTTTTTCATATTATATTATATTTTTTATAAATAAATATGATACTTATAAAGAATATTTAAAAATATAAATTTGATATACTAATTATACTAATTATATGTTAAATATATTTTTTCTCAAAAATTAATAGTACAACAATTAAAATATTTTTATGAATTTTCATTCAAATATTTATAATTTAATATCATAATTTAATTTGTTGAATATATATTATATATATATATATATATATATATATATATATCATGTAGATAATTTAGTAAAATATGAATTCAAGTAATCTTATATTTCCCCAATCAACCATAACGATTAAAGATAAATTTTTATTTTATTTTCATCTCATGTTGGTTTTATTTCTTCTATAAATTCTTACTTTAGACATAAATTATCGCATCAACACATAACAATCAAAGATAAATTCTATTAATCATAAGTTTAAAGCTTAATCAGTGACTTGTTAAAGAAAAAAAACTATTATTTCTTAAATAAATAAAACTTCATATACGCTTAATATACAAATAGCTAGTAACAAGTAGAAATGATTGTAAAATAGAAGAGACCAACTTACTTCTAATCAGTGGTGGATCTAAAAATTTAAAATAATAAAGTCTAAAATTTTAATTTTCTTTTCATAAAAATAAAGGATGTACAAAATTTTTTATTTTTCTCATTTTTCTTTAACATATTATACTAAATTTCACTTGACCCCTAGGGGCTTAGTGCATCCACCCTTGCTTGGATAATTACATGATTATAAAAGAAACTTACGTAATAAGAAATTACTTGAACTAGGTTTTCTACTCTTAGTTAAAGACTAATAGTAGAAGTATTAGGGGCATATTCGGTTCAGTTTTTCATTAAAATATGAATCAAATCGTACTTTGTGGATTTTTAAAAATTACAACCAAAACTGAAACTGAATGGCATAAATATCATTGTTTTCGGTTTAATTTGGTTTTGCGATTTTGATTATTCACTATTTTCAAACTCAACCTGAAAAAAACAAATTTAAAGCTTAAATCGAGTGCAAATATATAAATTTATAAAAGAATATTATTAGTTTTTAGATTTTATTTATTTAAATTTTTATTAAAATAAATTCAAAATGAATTTGTTTTAGATCCTTACTTTCTTTTATTTTTAATCCGATTTGATTCTATTCAAACGGTTTTCATATGAAAAAATTGGAATCGAATTGTATATTTATTTTTAAAACCGAATTGAAATTTAATCCCAAATTGAAAAACCTGAACCGAACCACATAGTCTGATTCAGATTAATTTTCAATTTTCTCGATTTTGTTGCTCAACCCTAAGAAGTATAATCATGTACGAATTCGAACCGGGTATTCCACTCGAACTCTCATAATCATCACAAAATTTTCTAGTTGAATTAAAATAAAATTCAATTCACAAAACTCTAATAATCATAATCTCTACATTGACAGAAATTATTGAAAGTGCTTGAAGTTAAAAAAAAACTATACTCAAGAGAAAGTACATTTGACTGGTTGGTCAAACTATTCATCTTTATTTCCTTGTATATCATTAGGTCATAAGTTCTATATCCATTAAGAATACTTTCCTTCCTTCCCTTAAAGTCTTCATTCCCCTCTAGGTAAGATTAAAATTAAATTTATAATTTATAAAAAAATTATTCAATTAAAAAAAGTCTAAACTCAACATAAAACCAATTATTCACCAAAACTATTTATTCAAATAAAGAAGAAGGAAGCATGTGAAATTGCTGAGGTTTGCTGGGGGGCTGAAACCGTGTGGGTTTGGGGCGTCGCATTTTGATTCCGGAAAACTGGACCAGCTTCACGTGTTTTTACAACAATTCCACCCTTTGTTTTATTAGCTCTCATTTTGCTAGATTTCTGCATTCACTATACCCTCCCTTCTATCACGTATTCATATTGTGATTGCGGTAATAACGCGTGCTATTATGATTATTGTGGGTGTCATGATCAGAGACGGAGGTAGAATTTTATATTAAGAATGGTGAACTTGAACTTATAAAATTTTGGAGGACTAACTTGAATTTATAAAATTCTAGGGGGCGAAAACAGATTTTCAATAGAAAATACATAGAAAAAAATCTAAAATATACGATGATTTTAAATTTTTAGGGGACGACCGCCCCACCTAGGTCCATCACTGATCACGATCGTTCAATAACGTTTTTGGACAACACTTTTATTGTTATATAACGATTGCTATTTAAATCCCTCCCCCTTGTTCTATTTCTAGCCAATTTTGGAATGCCTCTGACAATGAAATAGTGATTTTCCACCCTATAAGCAATGCTAAACACTTGATTTAAAATGGTGATAGGAAAATTGGTTTTCAACGTCATCTTAAAAGCTCAAATATCTAATTTTTGTTGTGAAAAATCACTTTTGAGTGAAATTATATTTTTATCCTGAAATATTATCTTTTCAATTTACAACATAATATATAAAATTGGAAATTTTATATTTTCAAATCTGCTTTTTACCAACAATCTAAAACATTTAAATTTTAAAGTGTATTTTTTAAAAATATTTTTTACAACACATTTTAAATCACTTTTCAAAATCAATACCAAACTTATCTTAGCTCAATATGCGTACACTGTGAATTGGTTTAGCTCAAGTAATACTTGTGAAATTTGTTAGATCAAATTCAATATTTATGTCCTTATATTATGTGTAAATTTGGGATAAACAGAATAACAATTCAAAGTTAAAGGACAAAATGTCCCGAAAAATATTTAAGGAGACAACTTGATACAAATGGTATAATTCGGGGACAATGGTACATTTAAGCCTTAACAATTTAAAGTCTTTAATCAAAAAAGATAACGATTTAAAGTCTCAATGACAAACTTGAAACTTTTTATAATTTAGCAAACCAATAAGACATTATCTAAAGTTTAGTTACTTACTGATGTAATTTACCCTTATAAATTTGCAGCTTAAAACACCCTCCACCCTCCCTTAGCTTAAAATTTTTATACGAAAATTTCCCTCCACTTGAAGCAATGGCTTCTAATAACATTCTCAAGCTTATATCCATTCTCTCCCTTACTATCTCAATCCTTTTATCCTTTCATCCTCAAACAACCTTCCCATTTGAGATCGAAGACTTCGACGAAGAGGAAGAATATGTGCTCGATCATCCTCTCATTGTTTCTAACATTCGATCAAGAAGCCGATTCTTAACGACCTCGCCAAAGAAAGATAAGATCAGGAAAGGTGCACATTGCGAACTAAACTCCTATCAAGATACATGCAACGGCATTTCCGTGAACAGCGGGACCGGCATACTGTACTGCTGCAAGATGCATTGTCGAAATGTTCTCCGTGATCGGAATAACTGCGGAGGATGCGGGAACAGATGCCAGTTCGGGCAACAGGTGCACATTGCGAACTAAACTCCTATCAAGATACATGCAACGGCATTTCCGTGAACAGCGGGACCGGCATACTGTACTGCTGCAAGATGCATTGTCGAAATGTTCTCCGTGATCGGAATAACTGCGGAGGATGCGGGAACAGATGCCAGTTCGGGCAACTCTGCTGTGGTGGAGTCTGTACGGGTGTTGTTTACAATGTTGATCACTGCGGCAAGTGTGACAATCGATGCTCGCCTGGAGTGAAATGTGAGTTTGGATATTGCGGTTATGCTTAATTAGATTAAATATCAAGTATATTGATTTTGATCAAATGGCTGTTTTGATGGTGTCGACACACACATACATATATATATATATATATATATATTTGAATAGTCTCGGTAGTAAAAGAAACACTGTTTTCATTTAGTAACTATGTTTCCAGGGCATGTGCATGCGTTGTCAAGTTAAAAAATTCTAAACAAATATTATCTTGTAATCACTCAGATTATATAATGAAAAAAGGTGCCATCTTTATCCCATTGAACTACCATAAAGTACATAGTTTTGGCCCTCGGAAAAAGCATTCAGATTGAACTGAAGCAACATTATGTGTTTTTTTAATAGTTTTGGCCCTCGAAAAAAGCATTCAGATTGAACTGAAGCAACATTATGTTTTTTTTTGTCCATCCTTCATGGGATGCAAAGAACAAAGTCATCAACTTTTGCTACTATGGCCTTAGCTACTAACATATATGATCGACCAAAAATGTTATCCATCACTCCCAGTTCCATTCAAGTTAAAACTTCTTCAGACAAGATAGTAGTAGCTCATTGCTAGAAGTATCAGCACCATCGCAGCAGGGGCAGCCCATATCCAGTAGTTGGTCGACTTCCTACGTTTCAGGATGGCTCGTGGAAGTGACTCAAATTCTTTATTTCGATTCCTGTACCTAGCATTATTCCCCTTAGGTACTTTATCCTTCACTGAAACAGGAGCGGTAACAGGTGCATCAGGAGTGAAATCGACCTTCTCAGTTTCTGAATCCTGTGCCACAGCTTCGGATGATTCCTCGGGATATGCTGCTGCCTTCTTTGCTTTCTTTTCACGCTCCTGCAAAAAGAAGATCGAGAGTGTTTCAGTTTCAACCCACAAACTAATTATGAATAAGAAAAACTGACTAACGAAGCAAATGATTGCCTTGAGCTTCTTTTCAGCTTCCCTTTGAGCTCTTCTAGCAGCTTTGGCTGCTGCTTTCTCAGCCAATTTCTTCTTCCTTTCCATGGCATGCTTTGCTTTTTCCATTTCCTGTTGTCTCTTCAAATCTTTCAGTTTGGCCTCATCGACTTCCTTGTCCGCAGAAGTGTCCTTTTGCAACTTGCCAGATCCCAAGATCTCTTCCGCTACAACACTATACTCTGACGAGTATTTTAATTCCATTAGTTTAGTCTCTGCATCTTTTGCAACCTTTTTGGGGTGTATGGAATCTGGTTGGGGACCTGATTTGGCTTCTTTCTTTGGTTGTCTTACACTAGGTCTCAGAATTGTTTCCGTTTCAGATTGCACCGGTTTCTCGGGTGCAACCAGTGGTTTCTCATCAGGATTCCTTATCCGGCCATCCCGGCTCAATTGCCGACTGTCCAAGGATGGCAGAATTCTTTTCTCATAATCATCTCTGAAGGCTTTCTTGCCATTCCAGAGAGCCATGAACTTCTCAACCTAAAAGCAATATAAAGAGCCATGAACTTCTCAACCTAAAAGCAATATAAAAGATAAAGAGAGTAGCCAAATATAAAGACATGAGATACTCCGGATGTAACACTAATCAGCAGTCTCAACAAACCTCTGCAGTCAAGAACTCCTCAAGAGCCGTTATATCTTTTTCTGCAGCAAGCATTTTAGCTTTGTTTACAGCTGAACGACTCTGGTAAAAGGGAGCATTCTGAAAATTTGAAAACGGAAAGTAATTAAGATGATTCATGAGTAATATCGTGCACGAGGATATGTGAAAGTTGACCTATAATATGCATTATTTAACATCATGCTTATCCTAGACAGAATGAAAAGCACTGACAAAACCGTATAAAAGTAAGTTATTCTCGAACAATTTATCAATCTACGAAAAAGATTAAGAAACAAAAGATCTTAAAAAGGATTTCTATCTTTATATGCACAAGGATTATGATACGGTTATTTTTCTATTATACATCATGATTTCCCGAAAGGTCTCCCTTGCTCTCATGCACCGAATAAAGGATTCTATAGTAATACAGAGAGTCCAGACTTTGGAACTTTGGCCTCATGATGTAGTGAAAACAAATATTGATATAAAGTAAGCTTATTTCATTGTGATATTAAATATTTCATCAATAGTATAATTAAATAATGTCCCAATGAATATGACACTAAAGAAAACACTCGTGATCAACTTATGAGCATCCCTGCATTCAAACTCAAGCATCAAAACACAAATGCAACCTGGTTAAGACTATTCAACCACACAAAACACGAACTGCTGGCAAATGGCAATCTCTTATGGTGCATAACAAAGAATCAACAAGTTTCCAAGAACATTCATTATTCAACTCCCATAACACAAAGGCAGAGAACTGTCAAAACATTTTTCATTGTGAAAAAACCGGAAATGCACACAAGACTATCTTAAGTGACACTACTTATTCAGGTATAAAGGAAATTGTTTCGACATCATCAGCATATGAAACAGATATGTTAAGATTTGAAGGAGAGAAAAGACAATACCCCTTCATCACGTTCTTTTCTCAGATCCTGAATATTTCCATATGCTTCATCCCTCTTCTGGGTCACAGCTTCCAGCTCCTTCTGTAAAGACTCCATTTTATTCTCAATAACATCCAATTTATCTTTAATTTGCCTTTTTTTGGACCAGATTGCTTGCTGCTGCTTCTTTACTCCATTCAAATCAACACCCATAAGCTACAATACACCAAGTTTTTTAGTGCGCAATGCTATGATGTTTTATATTCATAAGGAAAGGGGAAATTCGAACTTTGATGGATAAATGTGCAAAATCAAAATCTAGTACTTTAACTTGATCTTGAATGACTTCTTTTTGGCCTAATGAGTCCTGAATCTTTGATATCATTTCAGCATTAGCAATAACTTGTTCGCGGGTTCCCTCTAGTTGTTTGATTTCTCTAAGGAGTTGCTTCTCTTCAGTCAATGGGATGCTTTCATGCTGAATGCGATATTGCAAGCTATGGATCTGCGATTCACGATTCCCATGAAGTGATTAAAAGAAAGAAGAAAAGGATTAACTGCATGAAAAAGACAACCGATATATCTAAATGCATTAAAAGCTTATAGTAAAATCATACAATAAAATCAAGCTCTTCCTCAGATGAACATATACCAACACGACCATCAGCGTCTCTATTATTGCGAAGCTTGGCTAAAGCCTGCTGCAGTGGTGCTATTTCCTTCTTTTTCTCATCTAGAATCGTCTTAAATTGCTCAAAATCAGCATTCAGGGCTCTCACTTGAGAAAGCAACTCTGATCGTTCGGACTGCAATAGCATAAAGATAATGCATTAAAAAGTTATTGTCTAACCGGCAGCATAGTTATTTTAAACTTATTTCGCAATTTTCTCAACATTCGAAACCAAGCAACAATAATGAATCGTTATACCAAAATAATATTCTACAGGACAACGAAACAACAATAGCGCATGTGTAAGTGTTACATGTTCAAGGACTTAAATTTCAAACATTCAAATACATGCATCCAGGTTTATACATTCATCATATTATTATAAGCACATCAAATTGCACTGCAAAAAGTTTTAAAAGACTCATCCCGACAATAATGTCTCACCTAATGTATGAGAGTCAATGAAAAACTAAACAGGATAAGGCTAATATCACTCACCCTGTTCGCTTTTAATTCCTCGGTTAGCTTAAACCTGGCTTTATTCCACTTTTGTACCTCTTTATCAGCCTGATCGATTTTGACTTTTATCGCTGGGTCTTCGTAAAGGCGATACCTAACAAAATGAAAAGAGTGGATCTGCTTAGGTGCAGGCCACTCATCAACTGCATCCTTTGGGAAGATGGCATCCGATGCATTATTCTCTTCTCCCTTATCCGGTTCCTCAACATTTGAAGCAACTTCAATGGGTACACAATGGAGTGGATCTTTGTCTAGTGTTCCATTGTCCTTATAAAAGAGAATTGATTTGTCTATTTCGGTTACTTTGTCAACAGACAATAGAGCCATGTCTGGTTCAACAACCTCAACATCCATTAATCACAAAAAATGAATTAACCTGAAAATATCCAAAAACAAAGATTAAGATAACATATCGTATTGAAAAAACATAAATATCATTTAGTTGATGAAATATAAATTATGAATAATAAAAAATCAACCCAAAGTAATATGCTCTGCTAGCTTCTTTGTCAATTGGATTATAAGAGTGAACATGCTAAATATATATTTAAAACTACCCCTTTAGCTAGTTTCTTATTGATCAGATCAAAATAGTTAGCAAATAGAAGAATTTCAAACAAAGATTCAAAATTTCACGAACTCTACATGAAATATTTACAACAAACATAAAATTAAATAAATTGAATAATAGAATACGCATGATTGACAACTATAATTGAAATTTATAATACTAATAATAATAATCAGATAACAACCTGATAAAAAAAACTAAATGATAAATACATTAACCCGTGCTATAACACAAAATCAAACCTTTACCTATCAAGAAATTAACATGCAAAATGTTATGAAATTAGAGGAAAAAGGGGAAACCCAGAACTTTTGTTCAGAGTTCTTGCAATTTAAAGCGAAATGTTGTCAGATCTCAGTTTCTTTCACTTTGATTTCTCTTCCGCTTCTTCACAAAGAAAGAGGGAAAAGGGAGCAACATAGGAAAATGAAGGAGTTAATGACTAAGATCTTTGCTTTAAATGTTCGTCTTTAGAAGAGCGGAATTCGAGGGAAAATATATTTAATATTTATATTATCATACAACCAAACAATTTTAATAATTAATAAGTATATTATTTTTTGAAGTCACGAGTTTTAATATTATATATGTCAAGATATAAATATTTAATAGCAAATTATTAAGATTTTTTTAAATATATACAATCTCGTTTCGTCTGAAATTTATTAAAAATATTTTTTTATCTTTTTAAAGATGAATTATGGACAAAATATTATTTAGTACTTAAATTCAATTTCATTATTCAAATTATTAGTACTTATACTTTTATATTAGTTTGAGCACTGAAGCTAACTTTTAGTACCAATCTTGATTAGAAAATATATAAATCAGTTTGTTTGTTTTTTTGAGAAAAAATCATTCCTTGGTGGTTAAAAAGCATACACAGATCTTACTTAAAAAACAGATACATAGATATCAAACTTGTACACATATACTATTCAACTTTCAATTATTTTAATTATAAAATATTGATTTTGATTTTAGCTTTAAATATATCATTCAACCGTTAAATTTTAACGGTACAATAATGTAGATTGATTTTTTTGGCATTGTAGTGATATGGATAAAATGACATAATTTTAGGTAATGAAATTTAAGAATATATTAGTTTTGCCACTAAATTAAAAAAGCATACACAGATCTTACTTAAAAAACAGATACTAGATATCAAACTTGTACACATATACTATTCAACTTTCAATTATTTTAATTATAAAATATTGATTTTGATTTTAGCTTTAAATATATCATTCAACCGTTAAATTTTAACGGTACAATAATGTAGATTGATTTTTTTGGCATTGTAGTGATATGGATAAAATGACATAATTTTAGGTAATGAAATTTAAGAATATATTAGTTTTGCCACTAAATTAAAACCAATTTTATGTATTTAATGTTCGTTTTTTGTTACAAATAAGAACGATGCCGGGAGAGTGCTAGGGGCCTCGTCCACTCAGCCCTTTCCAGGTTGAGCAGATTTCTTACTCCCTCAGGGGGAGTCGACAAGATACATAGACCGATTTAGCTATTCCGCCCTAGGTGGGCTAATGAATCAGTGACTATATGGGCTTCCCGGTGAATGTGGGAAATCTTCACCCTCATTCGCATTGAATAAAGTTCCTAATTCTTCGAATCAGCGCTATCTCATTCGATTGCTGAGCATCATTAAGGGCATCCACTGCTTCCTGATTATCTGTCTCCACCTCAATATTATAGTGTCCTTGGTCCCACACGATTGACAGGCCATCGAGGAGAGCTCATAACTCGGCATGGAAAGCTGAACATTTACCAATGTTCCGGCGGTACCCTACTAGCCAAGTTCCTGCCCTATCTCTGATAAATTCGCCACCAGTTGCGTCCATCGTTTGTCGGTTCATAGCCCCATTGGTATTAAGCTTAACAGCTCCATCTCTGGGTGTCATCCATCTATGCTTCATGGTACTATTTGCCTGGCTTCGTCGGGGTTCACCCTTAGCATTCCGAATCGTTTGAGTCCACACTCTTACCGATTGGATGATTTCCATGGTTGACAAGACGTATCTATTAAGGACAGTTATTCCTTTGTTTCTATAATCTCCATATGAGTATCTTAAACAGATGCCTCCAATTAAGTAAAGGGGTGGAGAAATAACTACTCCTAATATGTAAGTGTAGAATATACTCCCAAGTTGCACGCGTGTAGGGCAGTCACGTAAGACGTTAATAATAGTCTCTTCACCGTTGTTGCAAATCGGATCCGTCACCAGCCCCATCCTAACTCGTTCGACGTTGGTTATTCGTTCACAAATGATCAACCAAATAAATTGTTTGACCCGCTGGAGGCAATCAAAGTCCCACACCATCTTCCAAACATTACTTTGAGCCTCCTAATCATTCCGATTAAACTCATGGAAAGTGGACTTCACAGTACAAACGCCTCTGGAGTCCCACCTAAAAGTTGGGGGATCATCTCTCATGCTATCGCACGGTTTGGGGGCAGCGATGACTCGTTTTCGGGTTTCCTCATCAAGCACGCCTTGGAGCTTTTGTTAGTTCCAGTCATCATCCTCTTTTATATATATATAGTCACAACGGCACTGTGGGGGTCGGTTATTCTATTTGAACTTATGGTGGTGGTTATTTCCTTATTTTACTTATGGTGTTTATCTTAAAATTTTATTTTTGTACACCTTTAAATTTTAATTATGCCCACACATTAATTTTTTTTGTATTACTAGTCGATATATATTCGCCCTCAAAAATATTTTTAGATCCATCACTACCGGCTAACATTGTCTCTGATAAGCTTCCAAACACGGGTGAGCGACCTCCAAACAAAGAAACAGTTCCTGATCATGTATTGAATGTTTCCAACTAAACAATCTATTCAAATAATTCATTTCTTCATGATAGTAAACAATGTAATATTCAGAATATCAACTAAAATTCTAGACATACTTTGGCAGGAAGAGTGACACCATACAATATTGGATCTTAGGGTAGTTTAGGGTTGTTTAGAATTTTTTAAAACATTTGGAATGGGGTGACAATGATATGAAGAACGTCAAACAATTTCAACAGTGACCTGAGTTGATAAATTTTAAAACTTAAGATTTTAAAATTTTAACGTGTCACGTTTAGCTTTCGACAATTAACAATGATAACCAAGTGCCCTAAAAATTTAGTAATTATATTATAAATTTTAAAAATTTCATGAGTAAAATACAAATGGCTTAAAAATTCAAAAATTATTTATGTAGTTTTATTTTAAAACAAAATAACTTCTTTTTTTCACTAAAATCACTGAAACGATGTCTTAGGAAAAATAGTTAATCGATAAATAAATATTCAAACTATATATATAAAAATTAGAGTGTGGATTTAAAAAAAGAAAAGAAAAACAAGTGCTCTACCGCAGTTATTTTATATTGAATGATTCCCACAATTTTCCTGTGTCAAGACACCGGTGGCTTTTTCCTATCACTATCCTGTATTTTTATCCTTTTTTTTATCAATGTTTGGTGTCTACTATTATTAATTTTTAGTTATATTTTTTAATTTATTTATAATAATATTTTCTCTCGATCCTTTCTTCAATAAAGGGTATCATAGTTATCGGTGTTTTTGGATTTTCATGAGTTTTCTTCGTGTTTTTTCTCATCTACATTTGATACAAGAGGACGTAAGAGTGATTCGTTTTTGTATGTCACTGCCTCAAATACTCATGCTCTTGATCATCAGACTATCATTAGTCGCTCATCATTATATTTTACTTTTGATAGTTATAAATGTATTTAACCGGTAGATATTTGACAAGTCATTGTTGATGGTACTTTCTTTGAATAATAAATATATCTTCGTACTATTTTGATATATATATATATATATATATTATATATAGATATATATATATATATATATATATATATTAGGTGCCTAAAAGATTTTTTTAATTAAAATAATTTTTCAATGTTTCATTTTAAATTTTGATTCTAGGACGATATGTTACGTTGATTGAATAAATGTTGATATTCTCTATTAAATAAATGATGATATTATCTATTGATGAGTTTCTAAAAACTTAAAATTTTTTTTATCTAACTCTTCATTATAAACACTTAAATGCATTGGCAACAATGGTGGAAAAAATGATTTTGAGGGAGCAACTTTCCTCGAGCCTACAGGACTGGCAGCCCTAAAATTTCAATACGACATTAGGAATATAAACAACATTGTTTAAGTTAGTCTAGTTTTACTCTCCTTCACTTAAAAAACCTAAAATAAAATCAAAATTGATTTTTAAGAGTTGAAATTTTAATTTCACGTTTGGAAAAGATGAGTTTTTGTTATCAAAGTGAATGAAATTAATTTTTAGGGCATACAATTTTTTATCTTATAAAAAAGAGAGTTAAGAACAAAATTGATGTAATAAAAAAAATTTAAAAAAAGGTGCCTAAAATATTTTTATCCTCTATTTTCGAATTCATAATTTTTTCTATTTACTTCTCTAAAAAAATAGAGAAATATTATAAAACAAAATAAATGTGTCACATGTTATGCATTCCCTGCATAATATTTTTCTTGAAAATAAAAATAAAATAAAATAAAACAAAACGATTAAACAAAAATATTAATACAAAATTAGACTCTTTAAATAAAAACAATCCATACATTTATTTATCAATTAAGCTTAAAAAACATAAACATTTGTTGTAACACCCTAAACCAATATGACACACAGTCGATTGATTAAAATGCCACACAGAACCACCCGAATGACTAACCAAAATTTTAAGAAAAAATTTTCTTTAAATAAAACGATTTCTTGAAAATACTCATAATATAATAAATCAACCACAATTATATAAAATAATTTACAACAGGAGCTCCAAAATAATTAAATCAAAACATACAAACTTTTAAAATGAAGTTACGGCTCGAACATACAAAAAAGGGGTCTACAAATATACATGCGCTCTACAAAGATAACTCGAGACGTACTCTATTATGGATCTCGGTTTGGACCTCGACTGAACAAAAAAGCTCTTCAACTACTTCTCATACTGACCAACGTAAGGAGACAAATTCCAAGCGCTAAGCTCACTAGCCCAGTGCCATACTAACAACTAAAACATACTAAATGTGTTCATCTAATGCTCAACTATCAAGGAACATGCAAAATATACTCGTATACTACACTCTCTACTATATGATAGACATCAAGGTACGGTTGAGGGTTCTGTATCTCGGAGCTCACGCACCTCTCTAGTCTACAAAGGATGGAATATGTACATCGGACACAACACTTTCGACTAACCCACCCCTCGCGAGTGTCGGGCCTAGGCCCTAGTTAGTATGTTTAAAGTATCTCGCGCACTACCTAAAGATATCCAGTATGATTTTATTGTTGGATACTAGTATCATTTACTAAAGTGACCCGGGTGTCCTGATCGTTTCCCGAGTATACAAACAAGACTAGTTTTATGCAATCCTAGCAGTTACTGTATAACATCCAGAACATGTATACGTCTTGAATTACGAGTTAAAGATGTTACATTAGTAATTCAGACATTTGTGAAACATAAATGTTTAAAATTTCGTTTCATTGTAAAACATCCCTTTAACAATTTTAAATATGTTTCATTAAGCATGTATATTCATAAAATAATAATTTATCATTCAAAACAAATCTGATTTTACCCAGCAATTAGACAGTTCAATGTTGTTTCATAACTATATAAAACTGCATAAATACTGCTTGATTTAAAAACCAGTTAAGACCTAACATTTATACTATCCATTCATAAATACGATTATGACTAAAATTTGTCAAAATTAAAATAATCCTAAATTACTATTATATACCCTTTTAAAATTCCAACAGATATAATGTACATGCCACTAATAAGTCAAATATATGATGTCTTACTGATATTGTCAATAGGTTTGATTTCCAAAAGATTCTTGGAAAGCTCCTCACTTCACGTTCTTTTCATTATTCAAACATATGCATGAAAATCATCACACGCTAAGTAAAACTTAGTGAAACAGTAATATAACTAAGTTAAAATAAAACATAAAATTCCATAAAATACTTTAAAACATAAAAAGAAATGTAAGTCAAAGAAAAATCATTGAAACTTTCAAACCGAGCTATTCAAGCCGATTTCCTCTTTAAAAACCTGAAAATCGTTATCTCATGAATTTATCAAAATCATGCAAATTAGCATTTAATATAACAACTATTTCATATTATTTTACATTCGTACATAATTCAGAACTTTCATTGTTACTTCATATTATTTCCTTTTAGATATTTTTCTTAACTTTCACATTCACTATTCATATTTACTTTCATAGCCCAATGTATATGTAAGAGAATGCAAGGTACGTGAGTCAAACATAAGGTGCACACTAGGCACTACACGGTGCCAATCATCATCATAAGATGCACTTATAGTGTAAATCATATCATATGCACCAACGGTGCCATACATAATGTACATGAATGTACCATAATTTAACTTAACTTGAAATTTACTAAAATTCCTGGCATACCAAGTGTACCTACGACTCTCAATGCAACATACAATGAGATTTATTTCATAATCATTTGGTAATTAACATTTCAAAATCAGAATAATTTTTAATTCATCATCGTATAAACATAAACTTGTACAGTTCATACCCTAAACCATCAATAAAACATTTGTATAAACATTATAGCAATATTCCATAAATAATTTAGAAATCATACTTTAAAATAAATATTATGAAGTTGACTTATTTCAAGACTTCCTTGATCCAAATAATTAAATGAATAATTACACTCACAATAATAATTTATATACAGGTAAAAAAATAAGCCTCACTAAGCTTTAAGCTTAATTCTTTTCTTTTGATTCGCTTCTATCATGAAATTTATCACAATTCCATATTCTGGCAGTTTGCATTACCTTTAAAGAAATATTATTTTGTATTAGTATACACACTTAAAAACTATTTTGTTTATACCAACGAAAACTAAACTCAAATACAAATCTAACCATATAAGGCATTTATTCTAGTTCCATTTGTACAATTTATAGTAAATTTTTAAAGCTGACTTACATAAGTTGTTTTGAGCAGAATCTACTGCCATATTTTCTGATCTATCCTCGATTAAAAATTCATATCTTTTTATGTAGTCGTCAAAATCAGTTACCAATCGAGTATTAAGATGGCTCCTTATGAAGCCTTTTATGGGAGAAAGTGCAGAACATCCTTAAATTGG